GCTGTTTCAACTTACATTTAAGTACAATTTATTGTGCTATAAAATGTAGCTACCATAGCTAACATTCAAACACAGATCTAACAAACAAGTCAGGCCTAAAGTGACAGTGACCGCCATGTTTACTGCCCTCTCTTTGTAAACATAAACAACTGCTCAACCACATTCACACTCTGGTTGCCTCCTGCAGCACTGGGACTCATCACTGACCACTGTGGAACTGTTTAAGTGATGCATTCGTTTCCTTCAAGGAAAAATCCACCGTGGCTCTGAACCTGTGGGTTTCATTCAAAGACCAAAACCACCATCAGAATAAAGAGTCTGACGTGAACACAGCGATCTGTGTGAAGGGCCCTACAGGAGCGAAGGGAGATCCTGAGCTGGTGACAGCGGCAGCAGCTGCAAGGCATGATAATCCTCTTGTGCCACAGGGTAGCTCGCAGATCAGAGGGAGGATAATCAGGGGGAGATGTGCCTTACACCCTGAAGGAGTGTTGGAGTGTTGTACTGGGTTGGTGTCCGCTATAGAGCAGGATGTCAGACAGGTAATACGGTCGACCCACTTCAACGTGCTTCACTTATTTTTTACTGGATTCCCAACTGAGAAACAACTGCATTAGTGTGGAAATATGTCCTGCTAGTTCTCTACCACTACTGTGTGGAAATATGGGGTGAACGGCATTATAATTTGTCACATTTAATGTCATGTCAGAGATCTAGTGACTGTGACAAAAGTAGGGCAGGCGGTCAATCACAGGGTCACTTTACAGCTTATTAATCTGCACCTGGAGGGTGAAAGTCCATGATGGAAGTGATCAGAGTTCAACTTGGTTGTGAGAGGGAATTGATTATGACTGGCTGAAGCTGCGGGCAATTTTATGTTCTATAGGAATTTGATAATTAATTTTATGTCATTGCTTTAAACAAAATTTAATGTGTGAAAATGTGCGATCACTTTGTGCTGCTCAAAAAAAGGGTGGTTCACATTTTAATATATTGAGACCTTAATTCAATATATGTGCAAAAATTAATTGAATTGAATGAAACCCAAGTTAAAAGTCAGACTGAACAGTTTGAAGCAGGCCTACAGCTCTGCACTTCCGGCTGCTGACTGTGCTTTTCTTCCACCAACCTCCCCCCCTCCTGCCCCCACCTCGTTGCCTACTGCCCTACTGAACTGCAGAGGAAGACGTGCAGAGCTCACAACTGTCCAAGTCATTTAACGAGTGCACGTACTTTTACACACACTCACACACTGCAGATACTGTATGATTTACTGCAGAGTTAAACCCTAATATTAACCTGATTTAAATGTAGGATTTCTGTTTTTGTTGTTTCCTTTAGGTCAGAGTAACCATCTCAGATCAGTGTTTTACATCAGCCTCCCAATCAGACGTCCCTCCCCTGTCTCTGTGACTCCACGTATGACTCCAATTACTCCACGCACCAACAGTGCGTGTTCCATGTAGCACATTATCATTCAGGATGTCAACAGAGAAGTCAGGGGAGTAAACATGGGCACGTGACGGAGGTAATACGAGACGTGTGTGTACCGCCCAACACAGGAAACAAGGAGGGGCTGGAAAATTCATTACTATGTACTAGCACTTTATCCGTTCAGGAGTGAGTACTACTAAGACATTTTAGTACCAGGATCCATGGTTGATGTAAACATGTCAGTGCATATATATATATATATATATATATAGGGATGTCTAATAGTATCGGCCGATTTTATTGGCCTAATATTAGCATAATTATGGATTGTTATTGTTTTTTCATACGATAATGAAAACCTGATAACACAACGTCTGAGTTTCACCAAATATGTTGGCATTGCTTGTGGTGTCCTGTGACGTTCACCACAGTTTGGGAGAAAAAAACAGCTGTATATATGAGTATCAGATAGATAGACGGACAGGTAGCACTGTAATAATCCCTCAGGAGTTCACTCCAATAATAAGTGTTTGGACAACATTGGCAAAAAGTTCCTATTGGACATCCCTATACGTGTATCTATATGTATCTATACGGGGCTTCTCGGTTTCCTCACCATGTCACATTTCATATCACAGCCTCTTTCCTTTCCTTTTCTCCCCGTCTCTCTAATTTCCCCTCTACTCTCCACATCTCTCACTTTTCTATGGCAACCGGTCACCAAGGAACAATCCCGGATGGTACGCCTGTGTCTGATGCGCTGATGATGTCACACACAGAACACAGCAAGGTAGTCTAATACTGTAATTAGCGCAAGCACGCACGCATGACGACTGTGTCATTTGATGAATTACATTTTCTTTGTGTTTTTTTTTTGTGAGGACAAACCGTTAAAGGTCGTCTCCTCTGGCCCACCTGTACATGTGATCTGTGCAGCGTCCATCAGCCCTTCCTGTTTCAAACCATGAGATCAGCCAAGCCGTCTCTCAGCTCCACCACCATTCAATAACAGGCTCGCCCACGAGGGCTGGGAGGCTGCGTTTCATAATAGATCACTTAGGTGCCGCTAATCATCGGCAGTCTGGCTCACTGCAGCACAACATGCTCACACCCAGATGGTGCACGGTGATTTACAGTGCAACAGAGGCAAAGTGGAATAATCATCACATCATTATTATCTGCAAACGACAGTTACAGTTATAGGTTCTGCAGCCTGAGTTTAAAAAAGCCCAGGCAGCGCTCTCCTAAAGGAGTAGTCCTCGTTACTGGTCTCCAAACCACCCTGGGACGTTCTAATGTCCTCGGTGGAAACATGGCTGCAGGTGGTTTTGAAAACAAAAAAATCTGATCTGAGTTTTTCATCTAAAGAAAGCTTAAACTTGTAACGACATGTCTGAACCAGAGGGGGCGGTAACTGAGAACCTTCAATCTGAAGTAAACAGTTTTGTGAAAGTGAAATTCTGACATGACTGGATGCAGCCAATCAGTGAAGTTCTCCAGTCACTAAACCTCCAAAGCTGTCAATTAAGAAGAATCATTAACAAAGCGGTTGTTTCCAAGGGCCCAGTCATTAACTAGTTGCTAAATTTCCTAAAGGACATTCAAATAATTTGAAACCAAATGGTCATCACTAATGAAAAGTAAAAAGGAGACAGAACCGAAGACGCACATTTAAAGACATGGATGGCTGGAAAAATAAGACAATTATTAAAGCAAGAAGGGTTGAGAAAATAATTTTGTGCTTCACAAATTCGCAATTTACAGCCCAGACTGTCAGCTATAGTTAGGCATACAGTATCTGGTAAGTGCCCAAGTAGGTCACGGTACACTGGGCTGCTTGTAACCCACATCAAATCAGATGAAGTAACATATAAAATACTCCATAATCTATGTACAAAAATCCAAAATGACTTTGACTTAATCTGTGTTAGTAACTTGTTACACTACAGAACCAGAATATTCTAAAATGTGAGGGAGAAACAGAGAGAGGAAGGGGCACCTGGCTGAGGTCCAGTGCACCCAAAGGTCCTGTCAAAATCAGTCTGCGTGCCAAGCAGGTCCGTGCGCCCCCTAAAAGAGGGAGATCAGACAGGGAGCTTGCCACGCTCCAGTCCACACGCAACGAACCGTCAACCGCCACTGTCAGGAGGAAGAGAGCCATGTGAAGGAGTTTTCACGTAGTCAACAAATAATGGGAAAACTCATAGTGGTTCAGTAATATGTTGTCGCAACCACGGCACTGCTGTGGGCAACAACCGCAGCAGGAACCAGCGTAGGACACAGACAGTCAGCCATTGAAATATCTGAGGACAGAAAAACAAAATCCTAAGAGGAATCTAAATGCCCCCTCCCATTACCTTAGCTTCTGCAGGAAATCAGATATTTATACCATGTTAATGTTAATTAAAAATGATCCAGCGCTGCAATAGTACAATGTAAAAAAATTTAAAATGCTGTTGCCATTGCAGAATTTTATGGGGAAAAAAAGTTGAAATTTTGAAATTGTCATTGTTTGCACTTTTGTTAAAGAATCTACGTCAGATCTTAGAAAACAGAAAACAGTGACACTATGTTGTTTTGTTAGCAAAAAGCTTAATATGAAGTGTGGCATGTAAAATTTGTATCAGCTTCTTTTTTTTTACAAGCACTGTCTGATTTGGGTTTTTTTTTTCCACAAATATTAAATATCCTAAAACCTACTACTGAGGAGCCACAGGTGGTTCACGGGCCACAGGTTGTGGACCCCTGCCTTGGACATAAATCATTCATTTTCCTTAAATCAATATAGAAATATAGAGTGGCTTTTTCCAGCATTGGCAGGTTTACGTGTGTTTTTGTGACTTCAGTTCTTGATTTCATTCCTCTTGGTTTACCAAAGTACAAAAACAAATTGACATCTCTCTTAGTGAGATTAAAATGTTTACATTACAGGCATAAAAATGACCTCATGTTATTATTCAGTAACGTTGAAGTGCGGCTTCTGTGTCATAAGATGGCTTCCTTTTTTTCAGAAAACTTTGTTTTCTCTTTAGATTCATTCTTTTCACTGGACCAACTATGAGTTTTCAGGATTTGATTTTTCTTTACCTCTACGGTCTTCTACTACAACCCATGCCTTTAGAGGTGACCATGATGATGCTGTATCTCACTGTAGTCATGCTTCATCACCTGCTAACATTAGCTGCTCTAGTAAAACTGTCCTGATAAGGGACCTTTGAAATAATGACAACAAAGATTCAAAGCTTAGTAAAACTGTCCTGATATGTGTCCCTTTGAAAGAATGACAACAAAGATTCAAAGCAGATACGTATTGAAGTCTATGGTGCTGCCTTGACTATAAGACCATTTCAGCTCCCAGCAGGCTCTTACAGAGCATTCAGTTCTAGAGTTCCTGCTCTCCATTATGTATGTTAAAGTCAACAGGGAGCCTCAGACCTTACAGAACCCACTGACGCATGCTCTATAGAGACTTCTTGCAGTGAGACAGCACAGAGGCAGCAAGCAGAAGCAGAGGCCCTGCGTCCATGCACGTTAAAGCCATGCCGTGTCATGCAGCTCAGGCTCCCGCAGCTCAGCTCAAGCCTGTTTGTATTTCATGAAGTCAGTCCTGCTTTGCCTGATCAGATCCAAGCCACATGCCTGTGCGACTTTACGCAACCTTTGTTTTCTCAGATGTGAACAACAAGCCACGTCATCCACACAAACAAGAAATGTTAAGAAAAAAAAAACAGAATCTGCACCAGAGTCATCCCCAAACCTCCAAGATCTGGAGGCAGAATCGGTTTAACCTGCCTTCAAACCCTCTCCTTCAAACTACAGCCTTATTCCCCAGACAGACCACCAGTCTTAGACAAAACCTACAGATGCAGATACCTTAATGAGGCAGAGTTTGGTTGGAGATCAAGTTTATTCAGCCTTATATTTCAGACCAGTATTATCTGGAGCGCAGACGAAAAAATGTCAGATTTTAAATCGGAGAAGTAAAGTAAAGTGTACTTTACTCAAAGGGTATTAACATTCTTTCTGAAACGCAAAGGTCAATACAGGTCAATGAAATGTCAGGTTTGACATTAACTCTCAAATGAACTCTGTTGGTGCTGGATCTTTGGCTTGACTCACACTGCAGCTCACCAGAGGATGGTCGAAGATTATTTAATTTTGAAAGTGTAAGCATGTGTCATTTCTCTCTCTCTCTCTGGTAGTGTGCTGTGAGCCATGGGACGATCTGCTGTTGCACACAGCTCCATGGAGGCAGGATGAGAAGAACATGTGTTGTTGGTGGATGAAATGAGCCACTTCCCTCTCTCTTCCCATGGACAGATGACATGTCCGACCTTCAGCATTTCAAACAGGTATAAATGGATTCAAAGAGCAGGTTGTAGGGACACTGTCTTCCTCTCTCTATATAAACACATGTTACATATACATACACATATACAGTATATATGTGTGTGTATATATGTATGTATATACAGTATATATGGAGAGAGATGAATTGTTGTTTTGTATTTAGTTGAACTACAATCTCCAACTTTTAACTTAAATGGCACAGACTTACTTTGCTTAGAAATTTACACTAAAATTATTAAAATGATAAAGTTTGACATTTGAAGTGGCTGAAAATATGTCAAGAGAAAGATCACATTAAAAAGAAAATTAAAAAATACAGACAGATCGTAGAATGTTTATTTCCCTGGAGGATGATCAAAAAATCCCATGAATAATAATTTATTTGGGATAAAAGAAATGTGTTGAAATGAAGTAAAACTTCAAGTTTATTTTTTGATCTAAATTATCTGCGACAATTTTCTATGAATTTCCTCATCATTACGCATTCATACAGTCATATGTATCTGCGACAATTTTCTATGAATTCCCCCATCATTACGCATTCATACAGTCATATGTTTGACTTTTAACCTTTAGACAAAACGAAATGTTTGGTCGTAAAGTGTCCGATTGATGGATTAATGCATGAATGAGTTTTTGATGACTTTTAAACAGACTTGGTGTCACACACACACACATTCACACACACACTTCTTCAAACACGTGAGCAGATTAAAATGATGGGCTTCCAAATGTCAGCGCCTGTCTCTTCTTTCCTGCCCTCCGCTGCGTGGAAGCGTTTCTGGTTACTCTGCGTGGAAAGAACAACTCGCTCGATTAGTCGCCATCGCCTCCACCTCCGACACCCCCCGCGTCAAAGCCCTGCCGTTTAGCGCGCCAGCAGCTCAGGTTACAAAGGCAGCTGAATTCAATATGTGCCAGTTTAATAGGGTGTGATGAGATCAGATGCGCAGGGTGTCCTGTGTCTCCGACCGTGGGTCGTCTCAGTCAATAAAAGCATTGTTTTGAGGAGTGAAGGATGTCTTTATGGCACGAGCTTGATTAGCCGGGGTTACGACTCGCCGTCAGAGTGCACTGGTTCTGGACCCAGATTGATCGTCATAGTCTTAGGTCAGTGAAACACGCAGAGGCTGAGTGCTTGGCGTGGCTCGGCCCATGCAGCCTTTTGTCTGCTGATGTCTGCGTACTGAGCAGCTTTATGTCCATGTACTGCAGTATCTGAGGCCCAGTAGAGTTTGACTATGCTGCAAGCAGTTACTCAGTGGTGTAAGTCACTGTGTAGCCTGTCAGTTATACAGTGGTGACACTGAAGACTGCGGTTGAAATTAAATATTGTCTCCATTGAAGGTGTAAATATGCATCTCTTGTGAGAGTCTGGGATCAGGATGAATCTGTGCTTTAAGAGGATAAAAGGATGTAAATACCTGTTCTCACGGAGCTGTGAGTGGGTTTTCATTCTGAAATTAACTAATGGTCGTATGTTAAATCTGTCAAACGAATGGTGGGAAAATGTGGAATATTGTCTAATCAGCTGAAGACTGTGACGCTCTCTGACACCTTTGGGGCCACAGACCTTATGTTGAACACATTTACGGACCAAATTGAACCGATAAATCAGGCCAAATGTTGCAAAATTGTCCAAATAATAAAGTCTTGTTTGTGTGTTTGTATATGAACAACCTGCTCAGATTAGAATAAGATAAGTTTGTATGTGAACAACCTGCTCAGATTAGAATAAGAATAAGATGAATACTTTTCGGATTCTACAATCGAAACATTTTACACGTTACTGCAACAAAACTTTCCAAATGAAGGGAATACTTGAATAATGAAGCAAAACTATCGTTTCTTCAGGTAAATCTGTTTTACTCGACCATACAAACAAACCCTCCAACGTGTTAATGTTGAATAATAATGAAGACGTATCCTGTCAATCACGGTCAATTGTTATATTCTGTATGACTTCATCAAATTACATCATATGGAAAGGCTCACTTCTGTGTAGACCCCGTTGTCGTGGAAACTGCACAGAGGCCACTGTCGCGAGTCTCTCTCTCTCTCTCTCTCCCTCTCTCTCTCTCCCTCTCTATCTTATAGTGTGTGTTTCTGATTCTCTCTCTTCAGAGAGCCAGGGGAAAGACTTATGAAGAAAGCAGGACAATTAGGTCAAGACTAAACCAGAGCTCTGTCGTTGAAACACACACACACACACACACACACATACACACAGACAGTGTATAGGCTCTAATAGCTCCAGAGTCAAACAGGTGGCCCCTGTTGAATGACGCCGTGGGTAAAGGGCGCACGGAGACACGTGCGCCCCCCAGTGTTTTATCTCTAAATGAGTTCATTTGTTTAAGTACGGCCGATGGATGAAGTCTGACTGTGCCGCGTCCTTCCTTCACGCTCTCCACGACAAGGAGACGCGCGGAGACAAGGCGCCATGATAAAGCAATCAATCGCGCGGGCGCGCGCGCGCGCACACACATCATAAAGCACTCACAAGATCTGCTGCGTGTGTGTAATGACATAAATACAAGACGATTGACTAATCATACTGTCAACAACAATTGGATGGATGGATGATGGATGGATGGATGGATGGAGTCAGATAAACAACATGTAGGGAGACTGTGCGCGTCAGCGGCAGACGTTATTCTCCAGCGGAGCGGATGTTGGACACCTGCGGCAAAGGTGTAAACAACCGTGAGAGCAGATGAATGAGGCGGCAACAGGAAGTGTTTCTTGGCAACACGCTACAACTGCTGCATCCGCGTGCGTGAATGCGCGCGTGTGTTTGTCTTTTATAAGCCTTTTTTATTTTCTTTTTGAGCTGCTATTTGAATGTAGTCGTCCGTTACTGTGAGACCCTCTCCCTCCATGTCTTCAGGGATTCTTGAATTAACGACTCAGTGCGCGTCATCGGAATCATCATTTGCGCATTCCCCTTTCCCAGAAACATGAGAAGAGCCGTGTCCTACCTTGCAGCCAAACTGGGTGAGGGCGGTCAGAACCATCGTGTCCGTATCGTCTAGTCTTCTTGCCCCTGATTTAAACGCCGTTTGTAAGACTCTCAGCATCTCCCCCTGGTGCTAGAGAGCGCTCCTGTGTCTGTCTGTCTGTGGCTGCTGCCGTGCTCATCATAAAGCTCCCTGCAACTCTCGTAGCATCGCGATGTTTAGGCTGCAGATTTACCCGTCTCTCGGTTTCACTTCCACTCCACCACCAACCTAATAACGCACGCCTGCACGCGCACACAAAAACACTGCATATGTTTTGATAAAGATTTTTTTCTCTCTCTCTCTCTTTCTCCCGTACGACGCATCATGTGTCTCACATCTCGGCCACAGCATGCTGCCTGTGCGCTAAAGCAACCCAACAAATCCTCCCAGCTCCCACACACCCGCAGAAGGCTGCAGTGAAAGAAATGCGGAAAAAAAAAAAATAAAGCATCCGTTCTCCAGCGTGCTTCAATATGGAATAAAACCAACTCTTACCAACAGGCGTTTTGGAGCTGATGCAGCCCATGTTCTCGGCTGCACGTAGTGCACTAGTGTCGTGTTTTTAGCTCAAATTTCTCTTTCTAGTTTTCCTGCGTAAGGGGACACCCCGGTGATGTAGAGTGCATACCTCGCTGTTCTAAAGCCTCTGTGTCGCTCCCCTCCTGTCATCTACGGAGGCTACGCTGCGCAGGGTTCCGGTGCGAGCGCGCTGTCGGTCTTCACTCAAACCCCTGGAGTGACGACACCGGCGGTGTGGAGTCCAGCCATCACTTCTGCTCCTCCGTGTAGCTTCTTGTCACTTTGACTTGTTTCAGATCCGGTCGCGTGCATGTAAACACTCACAGGAGTAAGCGCTCAGTGAATGTTGGATGAAGCTGTGCGCTGCGGTGTTCTGCGGTTCGGTTCAGCCCCATGCGAGTGGACAGCTCCGCGTCAGACGGCAGCGGCGTGGATCAGTGACCCGGCCTCACAGCTGGACACAGCGGGGGTTCCCTTCCCTGTCACTGTCACTGTCACTCAGATCCACATCACACCACGGTCCACTCCAGGTGGCGCCGTTCTCGGGCTTCCTGTGCGCTTTTGTAGGTTGTTGGCTGAGACTGTGAGCCACTGAAGATTTCCACATGGATACCGTAAAGACAACCCACTCTTTAATGCTTATATATGTGAGACAGGAGAGTTTCCGCCTCCTTAAAGTGTCTTTCTCTGATGGCCAAAGGCGGAATGAGCCGTGATTGGCTGGTGTCACCTTACACGACAGGGTGGGCGGACTCAGCATGAGAGAAGCTCAACTATTGTTGTTGTCAACTATTTTTTCTTTTCTTTCTTTCTTCTTATTCACACTGTAAACCATTTGTGAACTGATTGTACGAGGACACGGAAATCATCTTTCACAGGATTTGCACAAATAGTTTGATATAGTTTAGCATTTTAAAAAAGTATCTTGTGAGTAGAATAATGTACTTTTTAGTTAGACCACGGTCTTATAATGTTTGTAGAAAATACAACAATAAACAGTCGATCTTTGCACGCAGTAGTTTCTCATAATAGGAGTAGGGTAAGTACTACAATCTACCAGAACTAATGCTCCATTAGATTATAATTTAATACAGGGTTTGTCTATAAACCCTGCGGTATTTAAGTCACACCAATTGACCTTAGAAAAATATTTTGTTCCCCAACTTTGTTTTGGAGAATACAACATCCCTAATAAAACAACTGAACTGATAACATTTGTTCACAAGGTTAGACAGACTTTGACTGTCCAGTACCTTCAGTACCACCTTAAAGGTGGCTTTTATGCCTAAAAATACGCTCTCAAGGCATGTGTTCCGCTTTGATGACATAATTCGACCATTTGGTTATGGCAGCAGAGTCACACGTAATGACTGTGGCAATGTCACATTCATGCTGCAAGAAAGAGTTTGGCCTCAAACAGCAAGAGACTGGATCGACAACCTGATGGATTTGCAACGTGAGTCGTTAAAGGTGGCTTTTATGCCTAAAAATATTTGGTGTGTGGTTGTAAAAAAGGACATAAAGAGAACACATTGTATTATTCTGCATTCTTCTGCAATGTACACAAAAAAGGACATAAAGAGAACACATTATTCTGCATTCTTCTGCAATGTACTGTACAATACAAATAAGGATTACAAACTGTGATTTTATACTTTCAAAAAGTATTATTAATATTTTCTCAAACGTAAAATAATTTTTTTTTTCTTTCTCTTCTTTCAGCTGCTCCCTTCAGGTCCGTGAATCTTCTCTGTGGTCATCAACAGTCTCTGTATCTACTTCCAACTTAGCCTCCCACTGTTTGGAAAGTGACGCTGTCCTCCAACACGACACAGGGACACAACAGGTGACACATTTTGAACTCCTGCTATCCTTATGTCACACGTCACCTTTGACCTCTTCACCTTTCTTATATCTTCACTTTTCCATCTGAATCACTAAGCATCAATATACTGTATATATTTTCTATTCACCTCTTGTTTCTAATTTCTCCTAAATCATAATTTTTGGATGTTCAAATCTTTTTTTGCTCTGTGTAGCCTGATTCTTACAACTAAATGTTGAAATTTAATCAGCTTTTTTTTTTTGGTATTTTCCAGTTTTGATGAACAAAGGTTTGTCCTAATTCCATTAATTGTCTTCTTTTCATAAACTGTTGTTCCGCCCATGACTATTGTTCACAAATTACCGTCTGTCGTGTTTCAGTGTATAACAATACGAGCCGTCATGTTTCTCCCACACAGTCTCCAGGCCTAATTAAGACTTCAGACTCCACCTAGAATAAAGACAGTGCTGCCATAAATAGGCATGTTTGTTTTGTTTTCAGCTCTAACCCAGGAGCCTTTTATAGCTCATTGAGTTTGAAAAACACCTTATGTAAAAAAAAAAAAAAAAAAAGGTTTCTTATTGTGGCCTATTTGTGAGAGAACAGACTTGCCTCCAGGCAGGTCACAATGAAAGACGCTCAAGCCTCTTCATCCTCCCTCTATCTCTCCTCGACGCCCACCAGGCCTCTAAACATAGACCAGCAGAGCTGCAGTGACCCACGCACCCACCCTCTCCTCCACTGCACATGTTTCCTGTTACACAGGAGGACAAATGCAGCGAGGTCCTGGGGGCAGTGGAACTGGTGATCGTTGTGTGCTTTCATTAATATAAAAACACTGTCCCCAGATTTTCACAGCACTCATTAAGGCTTGATATTCCTGATGTGGTTCAGGCTGCAGTGAGATACTGTGTGACATCAAGGGACGACGGGAAGAACTTGAGGGACATGTGGGTCATCGCAGTGTGCTCTATTTCAGAGCTTCTAGAAAAAAAAAAACTCTGGGCTGCTCCGACTTTAATGTTTTTTTTTTCAGAAATAAAGTGTAAATAGAATGCTGGAGTATTTCTCTTACTGTTGATCTCTAAGGAATGAGAAAAATACGATAAGACTTATTTCACCTCAGTAAATACATGTTGACACGATGCCATAACGATTCCATTATTTATGATACAACTGCGTATATTTGTGCAAATCACACAGGTAAAGGTTACGTCATTTACCAATTGTAAAACTCTGACAAAGTATATGTTCAATATACATTGTAGACATTGTACTGTACATTGTACTGTACATACAATTGTTACATCGCAACAAACGTTACCATTTCTATTTAATATCCTAATATAACATGTAGATGAACAAATATCACTCTTTTAAACAATACAAGGCATTTTTATTACTTTTTTTGATCAGAAAACATATATGGTTAAATATAAATATATTTGATGCATTGATTTGTCTTTTATATATCAAAAAAATTAAAGTAAAATTAAGTAAAAATTTGACATGTTAGGATGTAAATGTTCAACATGTGTCTCACATTCAGCATGTGGAGGAAAGAAAAGGAAATCCTGATGAGATCTCTCACGTTATTTCTATTTCTTCATTTTTAAAATATTATTTACCTTCTTTTTTTTTTACCTCAAAAATATAATACACTGTTTCCTCTGCTGCACACACTCTCCCGCAGTGGAAAAACCCACCTCTCTCATTTCATAACACCTCAAAGTTCAGTCAACCTCCTAATCCTTATCCCTTAAATCTGTCCTCTGGCGCCACCCCCAGGCAGATTGCGGTACAGAACATACAGTAATCCTGAAAGACATTTGTTGAAAATAAGTACTCATTGTCAGTGACGTGCAGTCGATGGAGGCAGGTGTGGCAGTGCCTTGTCATCATGACAAGTTACTGTCACACCTGATTGATTTAATCAGCAGAACAGGGTCAGGGAAGTGGCGTCTGTTGAGGTTGTAGCCCTCATTTCGCTTGTTGTATAATAACATTAGCTTTGTGGTTCTCAAACAGATGATTTAGCATTTAGGTTCCAGCAGTTAATCATAATTTTAAAGATATTTCTGTTGATTTTGGTTTTTAGGTTGTTAGTATTTGTTATGTCCTCAGATGGTGTCAGTGATTTGAGTTCCAACTTGTCACAATCTCTCATCTCTATCATCAAACAAATGATCAGGTTTAACCCTGATCTGTGAAACTGAGCCTCACAGCATCAGTGAACAACGAATCAGGAATGCAGTCAGCTGAATGAAATGACCAGTCCACGTCTCAGGCTCAGGTGGATCGCTTGGTGAAAAAGTGGTTTCACCAATAAAGTCCAAGCGCAATTATGTCGCTATCCATTTCAGGAAAGCCAGAACTTTATTAGAGTCCAGAGCTGAAACACAAACCCACAGACCCAACAGACCTTGACGTCTGTCTATTCTACCGTCTCCGGCTCTCGTACCCAGTGCTGAGGCTGCAGATAAAAAAAAGAGGAGGCTTTGATTAAGACCCTGCTGATTCAGAGCTTCTTCACTTCTTGGAAAGTGGATGAAGACAAATGACACTACAGAGCTGCAGATGAACAGTACTTGGCAGAGGCATGTGCATTGATGAGAACCAGCTGGAGACACACACAATGTCCTGTGGCTGGAGGACATTTTCCTGTCCCCTGCGGGCATCACGATGAGAGCCAGCTGCAGGCTCTTGTGAGAGGAAGAGAAAGGCTGTAATGAACAGAAGTGTTATATCCTGAGAGGTGGAACAGGAGGGAAACAGGTCCAGGTATTTCTCCAAAAATAGAGAGAGGACTTCATTTTCAGCCATGAAGACTCTGTGTGCTCATCTTCCGTAGCTGATGATGCGACAAAAATCAAATAACCTGCTCATTTCTTTCATTGTTCAGTTGAGTTTGATCTTCCCACTGTCCAAGATTTGTTGAATATTTTAGCACCAGGAGCTCAATCTTTGTAGCAAAGCAGTTTTATTCGTGTCTGACCTGCATCTTTAATTTGACTTGGAACAACAGGTTCTATTCATCTATCCATCCATCCATCCATCCATCCATCCATCCATCTAGGCTATGTTAGTCCACTGACACTATGCAGTCTACATGGATATATTTACATATAAATGTATATAGGCTGTATCACATGACACCTGTTTAATCAGCTACTATCTCTTCTATGCTCTTTTTAGTGTCTACACTGTACAGCCCACCCCCCCCCCGACCCCCATCAGCAGCAGCCCCCTCAACAGAAGCTGTTCAACAGACCCCACCAGGTAAAACATATAGATACTTTTTCTTTGCACTGCCGTCTAACGTAGTAGCTTTCTGGAAAATACGGCCTTACTGTCCACCAATCCTGTGTGATTTAGGTCGCTCCATTTATCATGGCACTATTTTGGTTCAAATACAATTTCTTTTATATTAAAATAATCCTTATAGTGACATGTACAAACATAAATCATGAAAATAAGGTTTACCTAAATTAGGCAAATAAACAAAACAACAAACATATGTTATGATTATAAAAATATTTAAATGACGAAACAACTTTATTTATTTTATTAGAGAACTTAAAAGAAAGTATTGTCCAAAACTTCTGATGATTTAGTGGTAGCTTATTGTATATATATATATGATGGTATGATACTGTACAATTATATGTTGTAAACACTGGGAAGCAGAGCTCTGAATTAATGGGAATAATTTTTATGTTTCACTATGACAAATGTTCAGTGCTCCAGAGACCACAGAGAAAATCAGTAGTTTTAACACCACAAGCAAAAAGCAGTGCTTGATGTATCACTCTATATTATAAATATATTATTGTCTAACAGTACAGGAGAGTAGGCTGATTACCATCTGCATTGTTTCATATATTCTTTTCTATATTTCTGTGGAAGTGTTAGACTCTACCATGGGAGCCGCGTTAGCATGGACCTCTTAAACCTGGCCAGTGTTACAGGATTTCACAGATTTTAACAGCATCTTACATCAGCAATGTATAAGCCAGAATCACACTGAAGAAACTGCTGACCATCGCTGCTGAGCTGTGAAGAGTCCTTGACATGTTCTCGACAGGAGCAGTGGCAAAAGTTTCACTTGGCTCTTGGCAGTGCCTCAGGTCTGCGCCCACACAGGCAGCGTAGGCCATGGCATGGGCGATGTAGTTCTGCTCATTGACACCTTGGAACAAGTGCGCCATGGGTCCACGGGCCAGCACGGCCACATCCTCCCCACTGTGGGTGGCCGACTCCAGGGGCACTGCTGACAGCTGCACGTAATCTTTTGTTTCTGTGACAGAAAGTATTTACGTAGGTAAATATGTCAAGAATCTAACCGACAACCCTCTTGGTAAAAATGGATACACTTTTTTACTTTCCATAACTAGAGCCTCACAACTGGTACCAATATTATAACTCCAACTCTCAGTATAAACTTTTTATACTGTATACAATATTAACTTTTTGCTGATATACGATATGCCTTACACCGATATGTGCAGCTGTTTTGCCCCAAAACTGCAGCAAACGTCTCAGTATCCCACAAAATGATTTATCATATTGCATTATCGCTGGTACTGTATACAAGTTTGTATTTCTACTGGATCGTTACAGAAATAGATTTTTCGCTTTCTTTGCGCTGACGTTCTTCCCAATATTATATTATTATAACCAACTCTCAGTATAAACTTTTTATACTGTATACAATATTAACTTTTTGCTGATATACGATATGCCTTACACCAATATGTGCAGCTGTTTTGCCCCAAAACTGCAGCAAACGTCTCAGTATCCCACAAAGTGATTGCAGCATATTTATCATATTGCATTATCAGGTTTTCATTATCGGAGGAAAAATCGGGAAAAACAAATTTGAGATAAATCTTTAACTAATTACCTGATTTAACCAATGAACTGAAATCACACATGGTGATGGTGTCATCTTTTCCAGGGCTTATTGTTAAACCATAGCGTGAGATGAGATCACTGTAACCATTTGGTGTATACAGTCTGTTAGCCAGTAAATGAGCCAGGGTTAAACTCTCTATGATTAAAGTCTCTCTGATAATTAGGTGTTGGAAATGCTTCAGCTGTTTTCAGATATCAAATGACGGCTGTTATCTTACTGGTGTTCACATCACGGATGTCAGGGCGAGAACCATTGATGAGTTTGTGTCCAGGTCCGTTCCCATACATTAGTGTCGTGTACGGCCGAAAGTCCAAGGCCCAGAGCGGAGATTTACCTGGAGGGAGAGAGGGAGAGGGAGAGAGAGAGGGAGAGGGAGAGCCATCAAAAACATTTTTCTTGAGTTATTATTTCCTCTTTCTCCTCTGTTATCTCTCGCTTTTTCTTCTCTTTCTTTCTCTCTCTCCCTCGCTCTCGCACACACACACAGGTCTCTAGGGGTCCTCTGGGTCTAGAGCTCTTTGAGTATGTCAGTGTTTTCTCCCCAGATGAGCCATTAGCCTCACCAGTCCTTGCACAGATGAAGAGCTCAGGGTTTTACAGGCACATCAATCTGCAGCTCCACTGGGAGGAGGAGGAAAGAGTAACAGGAAAATAACAAGCAGAAAGGTTTTAGCAGCAGGAGAGCAAATAAGTGCACGATCAATAAAGCCTTATATGGATCGTCTGTATCTGTGGGTGTAAATGTTACAGAAGGAGAAAACACATGTTCGCCCTGTCATCACCATGTTGAATATGACTGAGGCAGTGTAACAATGACAATCAACAGACTGATACACACACTGGTGTAAAACAGTAGTCCACAACCATTTCTGTACCAAAGACCGGTCGGCTGGTATCAGCCGTTACTGTGGACCAGTAATACAGCGCCATCGTTGACGGATCATTACATTCTGTAAATAAAACTTTAGACTTCATTCTGTTAGTATCAGAGTCTGAATGACCTGTTGTCTGGATTATTTTTGAATGATGTAAATTAGTAAAACTGAAGTTTAGTACCGAATGACCTATGGACCAGCACCGGCCCCCGGTTCATAGGTTGGGCACCACTGGTGCAAAATACACACAAGTTTAGTTCATCTTACATACAGTAGCTCTTGGTAAATTTTAGAAAACGTAAAAACATTAAAAAAATATTAATTTTGTTTTTTTACTGGGAATTTTACTGATGTCTCTTTGACAAGTAGATGCTAATATTTTTTGTCTATTGTATATTTTTGTAGGTACGTTTTACCCTAATGTATTGGTTTTTGGATTCCATATTTAAGTTTAGCATTTTTAATATTTCGTTACAACTGTTCCGTTGTATAACATAAACAAAGTGTTGAACAAAATACACATTTTATTACAGTATAAAATGTGATTTGTTTCCTGACTCTCCAGTATCTGTATGTCGTTCACCCTGGGGTCTCCTCCTAGTGGTCGGACGTGTTATCTTTAATTTAATTTGTCACATACTGTACTGCACTAGCTCAGCTCCACTTCTTATACCACAGGTACAGTGTTGATGACTGGGGTGTGTATACAGTAGTGAGAGAGGATTTTTTAGGTCAACAAAGGCAGTTGTGTTTCCACCAGCATGAATGTGATTAAGGTTCATTATCAGCTCACACACACTCACTGCTACACACAAATCCGACCATTGTCTGAAGGAATAATCGATTACCTGTGAGAATGAGGGGAACAGTGAATGGTCCTTTCTTGTCTTTGTGTCCAGTTCAAGTGATTTACACAAACAATATATGCATTTAAATGCAGATGAGCTGTACAACAGTCTGGAGCCTCGAGGGTTAAATTAACATCCTCACAATTTGTTTCAGTTTCAAACTGCCTCCATGTGAGGTCACTATTTTATGTATTTTAAGTTTTCCAGCAGCTGAATTAAGAGCTTGTGTTACCATCTAATATACATGACCTGGCCACTACCTGCACTACCTGTCTTGGTATGGAGTAGTACTGCATAGTGCTGAAGTAAAATAGTTGCATAAGATTGATAGAGATGATTTGAAATAAAGAAAAAGAGGAGAGAAAAAGCAGAGAAGGAGAAACAGGAGGGAGTAATTTAGGGTAAAACAGAGACAACAATGTAATCAAAGATGAACACGTTGATGCAGGTTAGAGAAAATAAAGATGGGACGAAAATAGAGAAAGGCTGTCGGCTGCATTTTTCACGCCGGCTATAATTGCGGGGTAAGGGGAGCAGAGGGAGAAGACGCTCGTTCTGCAGTGGGAAGCATCACATTGGATATAGAACACATGTACTTCTGGAGGAGAGAAAAAAGGAAAATCTTTATCTGAGAAAAAAAAACCCACTGCACCCACAATTATACAGAATATTTACCCAGAATGCTCTGTCCTCGAAATGGGTAACCGTTGTGAGTAATGGTGTGGGAGTGGTCTGCCGTGGCTATGGTGAGGGTTTCATGTTCTTTGGTGAGTTCCAGGGCCCGGGCTATGGCGTAGTCAAAAGCAACGGCTTCATGCAGAGCCATGAACGCCCGACCGTCGTGGTGCGCCTGGTCGATTCTCCCCCCTGACCAGAGAGAGAGAGAGAGAGAGGCAGGTTAAATATTTTAGGAATAAAGCTTTTGTATAATACAATAATGCAAACAGCTAGTAAAATGTTACTTTTTTTGTTTTTATATTCCTTAAATAATCAAGTAATGTATTTGAATAATTGAAGTGAAATAATTTTTATATATATCTCCAGGGCAAAATTATTATTGCCATCTAGTCACAGGCCAGAGGTGGCCCCCGGGCCGTAAGTTTGAGACCACTGCCTTGAAGTAACTTCAGGAAAAATGAGTAAAAAAAAAATTCAGCTGAAAAGCATATTTTAAAAACACTGAAGACACAGTTTTCTATTTCCAGCATGTCTTGTATTTGAAGAGGGATTTATCCTCAACAACAGGAACAAAACCAAGATTACGGAGTAAAAAAGAAAAGAAAGACCCCTTGTTATTCGTGGTAAACAGTGAGATGGGACTGTATTGTTGCAGGAAAACACACACAGGGCTCCCACTGCGTCAGTGTTATGGTGGGATGTGTAATACTATATAAATGAAAAATAATGGCAATTAAAGCACAGACGATAAAATGATAATTATATTTACAGTACATATGCAATCATTAAATGATACACGACCCACTTTAATGTGTGTTTGTTAAGCGCGTGACCTCCGCTCACTCGCACTTACACCCACACAATTTCAACAGAACCTTGATTTACTCTTATCTCTGTCGCACTCTGATCGATGGGTTAATTACTGGCAGTGTGAGTTAAGCTGTTGAAGCGTTTGTCATTACCCTCGACGAGCAGGAAGAAACCCTTAGGATTCTTCTGCAGGATCCGAATGGCCTTTTCTGTTGTCTCCACGATGGATGGATCCATGCTCGGGTCTCTGTCCACCTCGAACCGTAGATCGCCAGGTTCAAAGAGAGCTGTAGGTCGAGAACGCTTGTGTCAAAACCCAGGAAAATCTGTTTCATTAGCCAACAGTCGGGGGGGGGGTGTACAGTATTTTTGGACCACACCAGGAATTGCATGGTGTTTGAATCATCTTAGCTCCTCCACAAATCACACACCAATAAGGAGGGTCAAATAAAAGTGAGCAGGTTTCTAAGTCAAAGCAAAAAGATTTCCTTGTAATTTAAGAAAGCAAATCTCAAAATAAAGTAACTAGTTCGACTGCGGGCCTGAACATGGCTTAATGCTTAGAGAAGGGGTGTCAAACATATGACCTGCAGGCCAAAATCGGCCCGCTACAGTGTTCAGTCTGGCCCCGCTTGATGGAAAGAAAAAAAAAAGATACACAAACACTTCATGTTCCAAATATTTTTTGTAAAATCATATTGCATTAAATATAAATACATAATATTAATAATAATAAATATGTCGTACGGTTGTAATTCTTTGCATGAAAACAAAGGGATTCTTTACATGAAAACAAAGGGGGAAAACATGGGCTTATTGTTATTTATGGTTATGTTAGTTATGTTATGATCGTACTGGTCCGGCCCACTTGACTTGTTGTATACCAAAAACTGACGCAGTTGACACAGTGTTTTGCAGAAAGTAGGTCAAAATGTGCTCAGAGATGTTTGGTCATTGGAGGCTTTTCCAGTGAATGAACTTTTATGAATGTGTTTGAACTCTGTAAACCTTATGTAGGTCAGTTTTTCTGACCTACATAAGGGCAGTGGAGAATAGCCGCTACATTCAGGCTGTAATATAACCAAGGCCAATCCGAGCCTTTTGTGTTGTGTTCTCTAACAGCCTAATGAAAGAGAACTGTGCCAGACGTTCAAAAGGCAGGAAAATGAAGGCAATCAGAAAAAAGAAATGACACTTCAGAAAATCTCACCCATGAGGTAGTCAGTGGTTTCTGGATTGACAGCATCGAACTCTGTTCTGTTCCACACGTAGTGGGCCACCTGTGTAACACAAAGGACACGTGGATTGTCACGTACAGTGAGTGGAGGACGGCTCAGGTCACAGGACACGTGGACACATACAGTGAGTGGAGGACGGCTCAGGTCACGGCGCTAACGTGTTGGAAAAGAAAATCTATTGATAGGTGGGTTTTTAGTGGGTCTGAAAAACAGAGATTTAGTTTACTTTATTTAAAGTCATTTTTTAACTTGAACTTCTTCATGAAGTTAGTTTTACTCTTTAAAAAGAAAATTCTTAACCACGGCGTCATTGTTGGAAGCTGCTACCTTTCCAGTTTTTAGTTTCTGCCACTCGGTGATGAGATTGCGTCCGTCCTTTCTTTTGCCTCTGACAGAGAAATCTCGGGGGTACTCCGGGTCCTTGGTGCCTCTGGGGGTCATGTACTTTCTGCCCCCACCTATGATCACCTGAAACCCATTCACAGACACAGTCACTTATCCCTTGATGTCAGTTTATTCTTCTGAACGCTGGATAGAATTCAGATAAAGTGAACTCACGTCGATGTCTATGTTTCTGATGAGCTGGGAGCTGATGTCGGTGCAGCCGTCCAGCTTGGCAGAGTCAGGCATGTCAGCGTCACTGTACCACTTCCTGCTGGCACTGTGGGCGTAGCTGGTCGCCGGGGTAGCGTGTTGGACTCGCGTGGTTGTGACGATACCAACAGACTTGCCTGCAATATCAGAGCAAACTGAGTCAAACTCTAAAGACTGTGTTACAGAATGTGGTCAGAAACTAGGAGTCACTTCAAAATGTATCTGTGTATTTAAAAAATGTAATATTTATTCATAGAAGCGAAAATAACTATAGATGTGTTAATTATAGACATAAAATAGTACTGTTTGTAGCCAAGGTTACACACACCAAGGTCAAGGTACAACACTGTTGATCATTTCTGATATTGTCTCCCAATAATTATTTTACAACTGGCCACAATTAAAAGTACATCAATTAAAACCCTTAATATTTAATCTTACAACAACAGTTAATGATTTTCAAAAGACTTTAGTTAATGAGTTGATGAAAAGACGACTACAAAACCAATACAAAACCACTGAGATCCTGATTGAGACTTTTGTTCAATCGGAACAGTTATTACAACACACATCTGAGGTAAACCTCACAGGTCAGGGCCATGACCCTCTCTCTCTCTCTCTCTGGTCAGGGCCATGACCCTCTCTCTGTCTCTCTCTCTCGCTCTCTCTCGCTCTCCCCGTGTGTGTTTGTGTGTTTGAATTATCTACGATACTTGGTTACAGAGAGAACTGATAACACAGGTGTGTTTCCCTGTCGTGTTGTCCTGTAATCTGATCTGAGTGTAATCTCACATGGACCTGCTCCTTAGGAATGATTGTCTTTGGGCGCACGTCAGTCCAGGATTAAATGATTTTTCCATAAATTCAGTGAAAAATCCTGCGTGTTTCATAAACGACCAGCAACTTATTGGTATAGTAGTGGTTTACTAGCAATAGCACATTTATTTAATGAGCCTTGGCTAATATCTGTGGTGTCTTATTGGTTTTATGACCAATTGAATTTTTCTAGACTTGTGTCTTTGTCTTTGTCCTACCAGCGTCTTTGGCCCACTTCAGAATGGATGTGACCTCGTTGCCCTTCTGAGTCTTGCAGGCTCCGTTGCGCGCAGCTGCATTCACGCCGATGACGTTGATGTTAGTTTTCACTCCACACAGATATGCAGTAGCTGTGGCTGCGCTGTCTGGGATCTGGAAGTCCACACTGTAGGTCTGCAGAGACACACAGGCGTGAATGTAGTCTTTATTACTGCAGGTTTAGGAGACAGTGGTGAGGTCAGAGGTCAAATGCCTGCCTTCACGAGAGAGGATTGGGCCGGAGGTGGAAGGGGTGACGATGCTGAGATTTATGTTAGGAGTGAGCAGAGTAGGCCAGATAAGAACGAATAAATGGCCATGTCTGTAATTGTTCTGAAATTCCGCAGGACCAGACCATTAAAAAAATGTCCCTGAGAACAGAATTGTTTTCTGTCCTGTTGTGTAATAGCATTTATCAGCAGGTTTGTTGGTTCCGTACTTTAGCCAGTCCCACGTTAGGGAACGTGTCCATGGTCATCACTGTCTCCTCCCCTGTCTGGTTCTGCAGTTGTCCCTTCAGGATTCGAGCTGCCGTCAAGGTGGTGATTCCCATTCCTGATGTTATGACAAGAGAACAAGTTTTTTTTACTCCATGGAATATTTGTGTGTGTGGTAGCAGGCGTGTGTGTGTGTGTGTGTTGGTCTCCTGGGCAGGTGCAGTCACAACAGGAGTCGAACAACAATTCCTCACGGCCGTGTCAGTCATGTTAACTCACCATCTCCCAGGAATAACACCACGTTCTTGGCCACGTTGGTGTTGATCTTCCTGTTCAGAGCTGACTGCAGCGTCTCACGCGCCTGTGACCTCCAGAACTCTGGGTTCTCCTCCTCAACTGGGCAAAAATTCAAACCACATGATCATGCATACAAAGTGTTTTCGGCTAAGATCAATTTTTCAGTTAAGATCAATCCATAGTGTAGAATATTTAAGACCAACATACACAATCATCATTTTTTAATGACAACATGAGCAACTTTTCTGCTTTAAATAACAAACTTTAGCCGTGCGTTTGAGGAGAACAGATGACTGTGCATCCTGCAGACATCACTGTGAGTCCGGCTGAACAGCCGGCAGCTGCTCTTTGTTCAGACCCTGGTGGGACCTGAGTGCGTTTATCAAGGTGTTTGCTTTGTATCAGCACCTTGCATACTTGCTCTCTTATCGGTCACACTTTGATTTTTAACACAGCAGTTCACTAACAAGCCGTAGGTGCTGACAGCAATTGGTTACTCCACACCACAGCTAAGGAGTGTATGGAAAAGAAGAAGAAAAAATATGTGGAGGTCCTTAAAAAAAACAAAACACTGAAGCTGCATGTTTAGAAAAGACAACAAAATTGAGGCTGCATGTTTAGAAAAGACAACAAAATAATACAACAATAGTATGAAAGGAACAGGGAGCAAAGATTGAAATTAGGACGGAGGAAAAGAGAAGGAATAAAGAAACTAGAGGAGAAACCGAGTCCTGAACAGAGATGTCCAAGTTTTAAAAAAGTAGAGACGTCCAGGGTACAGTAGGACAAAGACGCCTCGTACATCAAGATCAACATTTTCAGGCCACTGTAATATTTACTTTACACAGTGCTGGACTTTTTGAGGGCAAGTTTAATCTGAGCTGAAAGTTGGACATTCAGCTTTAACAAACTAATAACAATAATAGCCTTTCACTGGATGATGGCTTTTATTTGAAAACGGTTTGTTATGGTTGTTATGATGTACACAGCCACACGCTGGACCTTGCACTACAAAATGTGTGTGAAGACGACCATACCTGTTCACGCGGAAGAATTTAAATGTTGACACTGCTCTACTGTAACTTGTGTACAAACATATATAAAAGTATAGCTGGTCTTCTGGGGAATTTTTTTCCCACCTACCTTTGGCAGAGGAGGATGAAATAGTCACCAGCAGAAACAGACAAAGGATGAAGCCTCTTGTTGACTCCATGGTCAGCTTGGGGCAGCTGAGACTAGACTCAGTATCCTTCTGAATAAATCACCACCTTGACTGTGACCGTCAGCCGGCTGCCAATCATTAATGATCTCAGGTCGTAAATACATAACAGCCCGATAAAAGCTCTGGGCAAATATATGACCGGTGACTCAGACTTTTCTACTTGATCAATTACAATTCATTGCTGTGATAATTTAAATATACAGGATTAATTATTGACAGGTTTGATGGTTACTCCTGCAGATAATGTTTATTCGGGGCATTTTAAATGACACAGCTGCGAATACGCAGCATATCTGGTGGAAAGTGTGTGTCTTTGAGATAATGCTTGGAGAGATAATGCAGAGAGGAGATACAGTTACATAAGAGACAAAGACTGAGAGCCTACAGGGAGTGAGCGGAACGGCACAAACACACCCACAGAATCTCCAGGGAGTATGTGATGAGCAGGGGACAAATGATTGCATCATCATTATGCTGCGATTATGTGTACTTTTCCAAAAATGACCCCATATTCATCGAAAATGAAAAGAAAAAAACATAACAAAACAGGAAGACCTGTGAGATCAGGCAGTAGTTATCGGACGTCACACCTTTATTAGAACATTTATCAGAGGTTATTTTCATCTCATGTTCCCAGTGAGCCTAGTGATTAGACCTGGTCCAAAGGCTGGGGAGATTTTATTTTTAAGATCAAGGTAAAAACACGTCTGTTTGATGGGGTAGTAGATTGTGGCTAGATGAAGATGAAGATGAATGGTGAGTCATAATCCAAAAGAGTTGAAGTGGACTATATCTCTTTTTTAAACTCGTTTACACTACATCCCCTATGGAGCATTAAAGAACTGAACTAATAACAAGCCATAATGTGAAGTCCCACATTGTGTGTTTTCTAGGGTAAAATATCAGATTACCTTTAAACAATTAGATTTATATCCCACCAAAAATGACTAAAAGCACACTCATTTGCCTTGAAATATGTTGTTATATGCATTTTAATGCTTAAAATGTAGAAAATAACTATTATTTGGAATGTCAACATTTGATCAAAAGCAAAATACCATGCTAATATTTTTTATTAAAAAGTCTTAAAAATAAAATGTTGCCAAAAATTATTAAAAACACACTCATTTGCCTTAAAATATATAGCTATAGTAATTTTTATGCCTAAAATTCAGGGATGTTTTTTATTTTCTATAGAATTTCTACCTTTGATCAAAAGCAACATACCATACCAATAATATTCTGAAAATGTTTTTTAAAAAGTTGTATCAGAGCAGAATTGTTGTTTTCTCATCCTGTGCAGCTTTTATTCTGTGAAAATCCATGGGTTCATCATTAAATAGCTGTCAGCGAGGGTCTGTCCAAGTGAAGTCTTGAGGTCAAAGCAATCAAGTCGTCATTTAAACACTGCACAGCTGGCTGATTGCTTTTGTATCTACGGTCGTCTCCTGATTCAATCAACTCTTGGCAGTTTTTTCAGGCTATTCTAATGCAGTTCCACGTGCCATGAGTACATGTAAAGCACGTTACAGTTCAAGACTCAAGATTTTTTTCGCTCTCAATGTCTTGGATGAAAATGCAGAATAAACTGTTTGTAGTGTGTTATATTTTGTGCATACCTTTTTTTTTATTATTCTTGACTAACATACGGATCATTTACGTTGAAAGATACAACATGAACAGGTTACTTGTGCCAATAGACAGGGCTAATAATGTATGGTACAATTGCACCCTCTAGTGTTCATACACGAAAAGTTCAGTTGAACTGAAGTCTAATGACTGCTTGCTGTAGTTTCGTCTTAAGTTAGAGTTAGGATAAACACAACAATTAAATTACAGTACGGCTACCTTCATGACATGCATGACTTTTCCGACTCCATGTCGGTCACTTGACGCAGATTTACCTGGTGACGTCACGCACCTAGGTAAACAGGGTTATGTCACACACTCAGGTACATAAGGTTTCTTTCCTTGTTTTAGGTGTGGCGCTGGTATAGCTCAGTGGTTACTTCATCGAATTACAAAACTTGATACCCAGACCCGTAAGGGTTCGAGACCACGGGCGCTGTCCAGTGCTTTTGCTTCCCTATTCTTTTTTTTTTCAGTTCCTGTTCCAACTACATATTACATATGACAGCGGATATTATTCTAAAAGAATTAAATCAACAATTAATTAATACACATTTATTCACAGGGAAAACAAACTCAAAGCCGTGACTATAAATTATGAAAATATTCCATTCTATAGACTAAGATTTAAGAACAATCCTTAGCATAAGGTAGAGATTCACAAGTATGAAGGGATAAACAAATTGAACTGCAAATATTAAATAAATAAATAAATATGTACATGTGGTAAAACAGTGTTTGGTATTCTAAAAGCAATCTACATGTGGCAAAACAGTGTTTGGTATTCTAAAAGCAACATCACTTGTTGTGGTAATTTCTGGGGGTTTTTTGTAACCTGTCATCACCCGACATAGTGTTGGATTCATATCAAACTTCCTTACTGAATGAACACAATACAGGTCTAACGTAAAAGGCAAACTGACTATGATCACTATGTGATAAGACGTACATGTGTTCAAATTCTACTGCCTCTGTATTACTTCAGTAATTTGTCAACGATTGATATTTTTTTAGAACAATGTCGTGAAAATAACTGCCTGAGAGACTAAATAGTTTAGACCTACAGGGGGCGCTAATTACGCAACTTCCACGTATCATAGTGAAGAAGAAGAAGAAGCGGTCCAACACCACTGTTCCCCATTTCCGTTCTCAGATTGTTGGTTCATTGAGTCGTCACTATGGAGGAGGCAAAAAAGAAAGATAATAAGCATCCAGAAAAGATGGACGAGAAGGCAAAAGACAAGGAGAAGGGTCAGCAGCCCAAAGAAAAGGAAAAGGGCAAGAAAGAGGAGCAAGAACTGGTGAGGGCGGATATTTTCCTCATTCAAAATGCGCTGTGTAACGTCCTTGATGTTATTTTGCCTTAGTCACTGCCACTTTGACAACATGGTTTAGCGGGCCGAAGCTTACCCTGCTGAAAAAAAAAGATATTATATTGGCATGTATTAGCCTATCGTGAATGTTGAATCTCACTCACTCATATTCATTTCATTATTTGTGTGTTTGTAAATGGCTGTAGATATAACCTGTTTTGTTAGCTCACTGTAGCCTAGCTCTCTCTGCCGGCCGGCTAACGTTAGCCCGTTAGCTGTTATCGATGCTGTCCACTAATTTCAGTGTTAGCTCGAGCGAGTGGAAAATATATGACACAGCAGCTGAAGTTAAATAGTGTAACACTTGCATGCGGAACATTATTTACACAAAGCGACGTTTTTTATTTTTCATCAGATGGTGGATGGCCATACAAAGCTTGTAGGCTATACATATTACCATTATGACACGTTTTATTAAAGTATTAGAAATCGTCGTCCACACTTGTTTTTGAAAAGTACAACAAATATAAACTGAAGTGTTATTAATGTTAAAAATCAGTTTAACTATTGATTTTTCTGATAGATTAAGGGGAATAAAGAAAATCAGCCAGATATACAGGCCACAAAATGTTGATCTGCACTAGCCATTTACTACCAAATTGATTTTATCTGTTGTCTAGTTAAGTGCAACGTGTATGCCATATAATGATGCAGTCGTAGTTGGTGGGTGTTAATATCAACTATTCAAGACCCCAACAATTTAAGTTACATTTACATTCGTATGTTTAATTGGTGACATTGCCATTCTTTTCCCTTTTTACTGTAGTCAGAGGAAGACAAACAGCTACAAGAAGACCTAGAGATGATGGTGGAAAGACTAAGTGTAAGTGAAAGATACAATTGTTTTTCTCAAAAAGTCTATATTTCAAATCCATCATAATGTCAAAAAACTCATGATTGTTTACATTTTTGCAGGACAAGAACACAGACCTCTATCGTCCTGCTTTGGAAGAGCTACGTAGACAAATCCGCTCGTCTACCACCTCCATGACTTCCGTGCCCAAGCCCCTGAAATTCTTGCGCCCACATTATGGCAAGCTCAAAGAGATCTATGATGGCATGGCTCCTGGGGAGAACAAGGTATCGTTGTGCATTTGCCAGAATCAAAAAATCCTATCCCGAGCACATTTTTAAGATGTGATGCAGCCTCTTCAGAAGTACCAAGATTCCTCTTTTCTTTTGTTTTTTTAGTCACACAATATTGTTTTTCTGTAAAACCGGTATTGTTTAAATGTTTGTTTGAAATCTGTCGAAATGTCACTTGGATCAGAGAATCTCAATGGGTTTGTGGGCAAAAAAAGTGGTGAGAAAAAAATCAGGAGAGACTCACCTGTTCACACAGTAGGTGGCAATAATACTTCTGTGACACAAGTCAAAAGCGGACGTTTCAGATCAGAATAGACATTTTTTTTATATTGAGGCAGAAAACCTGTAGCGTAGTTAAAACAAAGGGCTTCAAGATCGGAGGACATCTGACAAGTGTCAGGTTCAATCTGCATTCTCTTCTGCAGTCATTAGGGGGTGATGATTGGTATCGAAGTTAGACCATTTGGGAATCGCTGCATTTGATGACAAGTTTAAAAGTGTTAATATAATTACTGTGACCAAGAGAGTGTCATGACATGTAACAGCAGAATTATAGAAGAGTTATTGTTGAATTTTCAGCACTTCTGTGCCGATGTGGTGTCAGTGTTGGCCATGACGATGAGCAACGAGAGGGAGTGCCTTAAGTACCGTCTGCTGGGATCACAGGAAGAACTGGCCTCTTGGGGACATGAATATGTCAGGTATTAAACAAAAACAAAACCCATATACCTTTACAAATGTGCTTCAATAAACCAAAGGACAATTCACAAGACACAATGTTTCAAAATTTTCCAGGCACCTGGCAGGTGAGGTGGCAAAAGAGTGGCAAGAGGTGGAGGAGAGTGACAAGACGCAGCAGGAGACACTGTTGAAATTAGTGAAGGAGATTGTGCCCTACAACATGGCCCACAATGCCGAGCACGAGGCGTGTGATTTGCTAATGGAGATTGAAAGGCTGGACATGCTGGAAGACTACATTGATGAAAATGCTTATGGCAAAGTTTGCCTCTACCTCACTAGGTATGTACAGGGTTGACACTTCTGTCATTGTCATTGTAGCAAAACTGTAGTAAAAAAACAATACATTTTGTTGTGTCTCCAGCTGTGTGAGTTACGTTCCTGAGCCAGAAAACTCTGCACTGCTGAGATGTGCCTTGAACATCTTCAGAAAGTTCAACCGTTATCCTGAGGCTCTGCGTCTGGCTCTGATGCTTAACGATGTAGAGCTGGTAGAAAACATCTTCACATCCTGCAAAGACATGTAAGTTTTATTTGGAGACATTTTGTTGTGATAAAAGTAACAGAAACAATAAAGGATGAACTCATGCATTTTTTTTCCTGACAGTGTCATTCAGAAGCAGATGGCCTTCATGTTGGGTCGCCATGGTATGTTCCTGGAGCTGAATGAAGATGTAGAGGACTACGAAGACCTGACAGAGATCATGTCTAATGTGCAGCTCAACAGTAATTTCTTGGCCCTAGCAAGAGAGGTAATTTTCTAGTTTTTTTTTTATCATTTGTTATAATGTGATTAGTGAGTTATTGGATTTTTAAAAATGAAAAATCTCAATAATTTTATGTTGATTATAAAGCAGCATGAATTAAAGACTGATGGCCGCCTCTTCTACTGCAAGCCTCAACTTGCTGCTCATTTCTGTTTTTTTAAGCTAAAAGCTTCTTTAGTGCTTTCACTTGCTTATTAGAAACATGTGAGACTCAGACACTTGATGAGCCTCTGATTTTGAAGTGTGTTTCTCACTGAGACATTTTAACTAATATCAAACACTCTCTTTGCAGTTGGACATCATGGAACCCAAAGTTCCAGATGACATCTACAAAACACACCTGGAAAACAACAGTGAGTCCATATCTTTTCATAGAGCTCTAGAGGTGTATTCTTTTTTTTTTAAAGTGGTGTCAATTTGTAATGAATATTAGTCTCTGCATAGTATATTCTCCTCCAAAGTTTTTTTTTTTTTTAGACCGGCTTATCATCTCATTTCCACTCACAGGTTGCTGTTCTGACTACTGTGTTGAGTAATGAATGTAGTTCATGTGTATGTGTGAGATGACCTTCTGATGTTGAATGTCTTGTCTCCATGGCAGGATTTGGAGGCAGTGGCTCTCAAGTGGACTCAGCTCGTATGAATTTAGCCTCTTCCTTTGTTAACGGCTTTGTAAATGCAGCTTTTGGACAAGACAAGTTGCTCACTGATGATGGCAACAAGTGGCTCTACAAGAACAAGGATCATGGTACAAACTAAATACAGTAGTTACTTTTTGCTATTAGATCCTGGTATTTCAGCATGTAGACTATTTCATTATACATATCGATTCTCAGGTTATCCTTCATTATAATCATCATCATCTTGGTTCATACTAAATTACTCTTTCTACTTTGTCTTCAGGTATGCTGAGTGCTGCTGCCTCACTGGGTATGATTCTGCTGTGGGACGTGGATGGTGGTCTGACACAGATTGACAAATACCTCTACTCTTCCGAGGATTGCATTAAGGTAAACCTGAATCATTAAAACTGTAGAAATATAGGGTCATTCTACTACTACCATGTTGATGATCAGCATTTCCTCACTCTTAAAAATAAACCAGACATTATTGCATGGACTGGATTTCCTTCAGTATTTCCTCAGATACTACGTCACCTGTATTACAGAGAAGAAAAAGACAACAATTTTAGTTTACTTCCTCTCCTCATTCTGGTTGGTCTTTTGTCATTCCAGTCTGGTGCCCTCCTGGCCTGTGGCATAGTAAACTCAGGTGTGAGGAATGAATGTGACCCAGCCCTTGCCCTCCTTTCTGACTATGTCCTTCACAACAGCAACGTCATGAGGATAGGAGCCATCTTTGGGTGAGAAAGTCCAAACCAAGTTTTAGAATATTTTGACTTTTATTCAGGCTTTTTCTTTGTAGAGTATGTTATGTTATAATTACACCTAGTACAGTAAGATATGACTTTTGTGTCTTGTTTTTAGCCTGGGTCTGGCCTACGCTGGTTCCAACAGAGAAGATGTCCTGTCTTTGCTTCTTCCTGTCTGATGATAGATATGACTTTTGTGTCTTGTTTTTAGCCTGGGTCTGGCCTACGCTGGTTCCAACAGAGAAGATGTCCTGTCTTTGCTTCTTCCTGTCATGGGAGACTCCAAGTCCAGCATGGAGGTCTGAATTTATTTTTTTTTTCTCCCATGTTTCTTGGAGCCTATAATTCAGTACTGTTGAACTAATCTGATGTCTGTGTGTATTTTATTTCCAGGTGGTTGGAGTGACAGCCCTGGCTTGCGGTATGATCGCTGTAGGTTCTTGTAACGGCGATGTGACTTCCACCATTGTCCAGACCATCATGGAGAAAAATGAACAGGAGCTGAAGGACACGTATGCACGCTGGCTGCCTCTGGGCCTAGGACTCAACCACCTTGGTAAGTGAAGTCGAAATGAGAAGAAATTGATTTGGGATGTATTTATTCAAATAAGATGGACTTGTGGGTATTTTTTAGATTTTAATTCCCTTACTCCCTGTAGTTTAGGTAATAAAATAGATTTAATTTAGCCTAATTATTAGTCGTTGCTTTACTGCTGACAGCATCAGTAAGTTAAACCATAATGTTGAACAAAACCATAACCATTTTCTCACCATATTTTTGTTTGTTTGTATCCTTCACCACATGCAGGCAAAGGAGAGGCTATCGAGACAACCCTGGCTGCTCTGCAGGTTGTACCAGAACCTTTCCGCAGCTTTGCCAACACACTCGTGGACATCTGTGCATATGCAGGTCAGTCCTCCTCTGAAAAGTCTTTCACTTCCAGGTCTTATCTATATGAAAATAACATAGTCTGTATGCATTTGCATTACTCCCTGATTCCTCTCCGTCTCTACCTCAGGCTCCGGTAA